TTATTTAGAGGGTGTTTTAATTGACTTAAAAGTTTGTCAAATTTACTTTTAAGTCCGTTTTTTACTTTTTGAAATATTTGATAAATATATAAAATAATTTAAATAAATAAAAATAAATGACTTCAAATAAGTTGGAAAGTATTTGACAACATCAAAAGTAACTTAAAAATAAGTAAAAAAATGTCTTGAAATAAGTCAACAACCATAATTAGATCTCCTCCTACTTTTTATTTTTTAATTTAAAAGGTATTTTAATTTGACTTTTTATTTTTTACTTAAAAATTATTTTTTTCAAGTTACTCCAATATGCAGCCCCTTAAAGCAGTGATGTAGCCAGAAATTTTACGAAGAGTGTCCAAAAATCTCATAACTCGTACAAATAATTTAAAGAATGAGTATACTAAAATTTTGTAAATTAAAATGCGTAACATTAATAACTAATTTTTTTTAATTAAAATGTACCAAAATTTTAAAATCAAACTAAATAATATTTAGCTTTAATGTTCACGTTAAACTGATAGGAAGTGAACAACCAAATAAATAGAGAGATATTTCAATTTCGAGTGAAATAACTTTTATACTTCAAGATTTCACAAACTTCTAATGACTAACAACGTGAAATAGAAAATAAAGAATCGAATCAAACGAGTTATATTAATCGAACCCGCGCAACTGCAAGTTGCAAAGAACTTTTAGTTAGAGTTGAACGACTGAAACCACTAAGCTAGACAAATTTTATTGTTTTCCAAAAGTGTCCATAATGTATTATTTGACCATTTAAATTATTATTTTGCTTATAAGTACGGTGTAATTTTCTGATGAAGGGAGTCCAAGAAAGGTAGCTAGGCCCCTATCTTAAAGTTATCTGCATATTTCACTTGAACATCTCAACTTATCTTTGTGCCTAATGACCATTTTATTTGTTCAAAAGTCAATTCTATTAAACACAAAATACTGACATGTCAAATAACGTGTGTTACACTCTCTTAAGACGCGTAATGCTATTGAAATTAATATATTTTTTCTAAACTTATATACTTAAACTAATGCAAAGGCATAAAAATATATAATTTTTTTTGAAAATGTACTCTTCTTCCCCAGCCCAAAATTACACATCATGTACTATTCACATTGACCTTCTCCATCATTCTTTTTTACGTAGGTGCACACCCAACCCCCAACCCCACCCCATCCTCCTCTCTCTTTCTCTCACCCTCTCCCATTCTTCTTCTTCTATTTTTTCTATTTTTTTTAAGTAGATCTACATCTTCAATATTCCGCCAAATATTTATTTATTCGATGATAAAAAAAATTAATTAGTTTTTTAGGCAAACGTTTGTCATCATCTATTATAATTGAGACAAATGATTAGTAATGATAAAACGATAAAGATAACGAATAGAAAATTTTGATGCTATCAAGATAAAAGACACAATAGATATTTTATAATTATTGGTCCGTTTATTATATAAAGAAGAAAAGAGTAGTAGAGATTTCGAGTATAGGGGAGGGGGGGGGGGGGAGATAACTGTTTAATTTTATTTTTTTTTTATAAAAAAAATGGACTATCATTGTTAATTTATAATAAAGAAGAAGAAGTAAAAAAGACGATAACGTGGGAAGGTTTGGGTGGGTGGGTGGGTGGAACTTTTAGGAGTATAAATTTTATTTTACTTTTGTTATTTAAAATAATTTTTCGGATCCAAATGACATATGTCATGATTTGATTTGTTATTGTGTCATGCAATCACAAGTATATTTAGATGATTAAGGTATTAATGTTTAATAGGTACAACCTTTATAATTGATCTGAAATTTATGTCGTTTACAGTAATTTAAAAAATATTCATTCTGATATTTCTTTTTAGTTTCAGTTATGTTCGGTCAAGATAATCATATATATGGTTAATCATAATTCATATGGCTATCAACTCAATTATATTAATGAAATAATCATATCGATGGTTAATCAAAAATTCATATATATGATCGTCAACAATGTATGAAATGTACTTTTCAATCGCGCTAAAATTGATGAAACAATAATCTAAACAAAAAATATAATATCTATGCATATATACTTAAAAAAGAAAGTAAAATGAGGTAAGAATGAATGGAACAATACTTAAGGAAATTGATTAATATTTTATTGATAACTCTTTTTTCCTCTCATAAAATGGGAGAATTCAAAATATTGAAGCTAGCAATTGTAAACACAAACACAACTTAAGGGGCCTATATTGCCACCAGTACAGACTCCAGTTCCATTATGTTTTTGTAAGCATTCACTTTGACACTCAGCCATGGTGCAATCTGAGGCCTTCAATGTCTCAGAACATCTTTGTTGAGCTTTCACTCGTGTACTTGTCATTGCAACTACATATCAAAAAAAATAGTAAAAAATTATAGGCTGCATATCAAAAGTGATGTAGAAATACCATGATAATGTTATGAAGCTTTTAAATTCAAAACATTAAAAATGAAATCATCTTTTAAGGCAAAGTGCTTTTATTTTTTAAAGTATTAAGAGTCTGGTTGGCTCAGCTTAAAAGTTGGTCAAACTGACTTAAAAGCTGGTTTTTGACTTATTTAGTTGTTTGGCAATACTCAAAATAACTTATTTTAAGTTAAAAAAAACTTATTTTAAGCCAAAAGTTAAAAGCTGGGGAGGGGTGCTTTTTTTTTTAGTTTATAAGTTGTTTTAAGTTGATCACATTTTTATCTTTTTGCCCTTAATATTTTTATACAATCTCCAAATTACCCGCATAACCCTAACATCTCTTTCTTCTATTTTTCCCTTTTCACGTTTGGCATAGCAACTTCAACACTTTTATATTAACGCATAACTGCTTATTTTAAAAATAAGTTTCAGCACTTTCAAAAGTACTTTTTTAAAGCTTCTTTTATTAAGCCCATCCAAACAGGCCCTAAACCTAAATCAACCAACATCCAAATTAAATTGAAGTCAAACATAAAAAAAAAATTACAATGGACAAAAACAAAATAAAAAAGACGATATTACAATAGAATACCCGACTAAAAATTAAATAAGGTATAAAATGGTAAAAAAAACATCTTTTAAAATAGATAATACTAGTATTCATTAATATAATAACCATTTATATTTTTATTTCATAAATAGACCAATATTTTGTGTTTAATTAAAGGTACATTAATTGAAGCTACAATTGAAAACACAAACACAATTCATTGGGCCAGTGTATCCAATATTGCTGTGCATCTCTTTTGGGCCTTTACTTCAGTAATTGCCAAAATTAAACAAATAACACTTATATATCGACAAAACAAATTAATCTCATTTTAGATCTTGAATACATCGTCAGTGTAAATAATTTTTACGTTATCAACTAATTCAAAGGATATCTATAGATAAAAATTCCTTAAAATTTGGATTTGCAATCTTGAAAGTAAAATAGATTGTTTGCTATAGTCAGAAGCGGAGCTACCACTTTAGCTTCTGATTCGATAAAACTTAATAGTTCTGAAAAGCAAAAAAATTACGCTTTCAAAAATTATGAATTAAAAAAATTAGCTCCGCCACAAGCTAGAGCATGTAATTATTATTTTTACGATTACGATGTATATGACTTAAGCTTTTTTCTTTTATCATAAACAAGATAGTAAATAAAGAATTGAAAAAAGAAATGGACAAACCTGAGAGAATAAGAAAGAAGCAAAGAATTGAGTTTAAAAACTTGGCCATTCTTATTGAATATTTGAAGTTGATCTCAAATGTTTGTAGTGCACTTTGATGTAAGGTGAAAGAGGCTATTTATAATGCAAAATTCATTAAATTTTCTTTGGGAAGTAATGTATAAAATTTAATATGGTGAAATTTATGAAAGAATCAAAATGTGACCTTTCTATATTGTTATATATTGATTTAAAATTTATGTATTTAATTTTTTGTTTGATACAATTTATCAGTCAGAGCAAAATTTGACTTGTATCCTTCTTGAAAAAAAAATTATTGAAGTAGTTTAATAGAATTGATTGTGATGAAATTTAAAAATTGGATTATTGTTATATATCTTGACTTGATATAATAACACTTTTGACTTTTAAGTTGATGCTGAATATTAATTTTAATATTAAATTAATTTTAAATAATATAATAGTTAGACCATAATACTCTTTCTTTTTTTGTAAAATTTGAACCATTTCTCGATTTGTGCGTGTCATCCTTGCGCAGAGGCCATGCTAATCTTCTCTGTATCGTTCCAATTTTATCGGATGTTCCCGAAGGGACACCACAATACTCTTCATTTTAAAAATTTATGCTTAAAGTATCATATTTTGCCTATTATATACTTGATAGAGTAGTTAATTAATCTTGAAAATATATTCATTATTTATTATAAAGTTGACTTAAGAAAACATTAAATAAAGATAAAATTACATCATTTTTTAATACAAATACAAAATAAAAAAAGACGTATAAAATAAAACGAAAGGAGTAATTCATTATAGTAGTTTTGAAAATTCACAAGCATAAATACCAAGAGTAACACACACATAATAATTAATTAATTGAAAATTACATATACTAGTCATATATTACATGAACCAAAATTAGAATTTACTTACAATTAATGACCAAATATTATTATATCTTCTATAACTAGATTGGTTATGATCTGTGCTTAGCACTGGTCCAACATGTTTGGGTTAGATGAGTTATCTATGTTTGACTTTATTTTCAAACATTTTTAGTCTGTACAATCACATTTTTACAAGCATAACACTTATATAAAAAAACACGACATGAAACCATATGAAAAAGTTATTTAAAGATTAGTTATTCTCTAAAAACGAATTTTAAAAGTTGCATGGTAATTGATAAAGTGGACGAAAAAGGAATAAGGATGCATGTAGTACGTAGAAATATTGTTATGTTTATATATAAAAAGTGGTTAAATAGAGTATTTTCATGCGATTTTCTCGTTAAACAGAAAGGGAAAAAAAATTATTTGCTCAAAAATTTCATCAATTTTTTTGGGACAGAAGAAAGAAAAAAATAATAATAACAAGAAAGAAAGAGAAATGGCTGAAATTATTCTACCATGAAATCTCTTCTTTCTTCTTTGTTGTAATTTCTTCTTCCAGATTCATTCATTTCCTAATTTATAAAAAAATTTCGGGTACGTAATATTAATTTCTTCGATTCATCTATTCGTTTCATAATGTCCATGAAATCGAAAAATGAATGTGTTGAAAATTATTAGAAGATTGTGTTTGAATTGTTTAATATGATAGATTAAATGACAGTAGTAATTACAAGGGTTGGGTTGGGTCAGTCTATTTTGACAGCTCTAATCAAACATCATAAAATATTTTTGAGGTTACATTTTTCCTATGGTATGATTTCCGTGAAATATACTAATTCATGTTCATATATTTAAATATTGAATTATTCTGTAATATGTCTTGATTTTTTTTTTGGAATTTATTTATTTTTTCTAATAATTGTTCTTTTTTTTTTAATTTTCCTAGGAATACTGATAATGCAACATGTAAATTTCTCCTGGGAGGCATTGGATTAAATTTTATTTATTTATTTAAAAAAAAAGGAATATTTTTAGCTTTGATTGAACAAAAATGTCTTGCTGTGGAGGTGGAGAAGAAGACGTTTATAGCGGCGGTCCTCCGTCCAATCAGAACACAGCTCCTCCTAGAGCTGGCAATCCATATGGTGGTGGTGCTGGTGGTGGTAATGATCATATAATCTAATCTTTTTTCGATTCTTTAACTCCGTGTAATTTTCATTTTTATGTTCTGTATCGACCTCTAGATGGATTTGACCCTTAAAAGTACAAAACTATGTAGATTGAAGGTGTTAAAAGGGCACGATCGATGTATATTCTTAGACACAAATATCGATTACATAGATATATGTTGGTCGTATGTCAGGTAGTTACTCAACTAATAGTTATTCATCTCAGAGAGTTGTGTGACTTTTTTTGGAATGTGATAATTTAGCGAAAATAAGGGTACAATAGGAGAAAAAAGATCGATATAGATGACATACAACTTAGTTGAGAATATGTTTGTTCTATGTTTTAGGAGTATGCTAATCGAAACAAAAATAGGGAAGTTCTAGTACTTTTGTATTATAAGCATGATCGATGAAGATTCATATAGCAGATTACGACTTGTTTGTATTGTAGCGAGTGATAGAGGAGAGCCAAGGAGTGCTGCAAGAGGTGGAACTCCTCAGAAAGTGTTACCAATTGAGGCACCAGTTTTCACCTTAGATGAACTAAACAGATTGACAGGAAATTTTGGTCAGAAAGCTTTGGTTGGAGAGGGATCTTATGGCCGCGTTTTTTGCGCGAAATTAAGCAATGGACAGCAAGTAGCAATCAAGAAGTTGGATACTAGTGCTTCACCAGAACCAGATTCTGATTTTGCAGCTCAGGTTAATGAATCAATGCCCTTTTTTTCCCTTTTTTAGAATGATGAAAAGTACACTTGTACTTGAAATGTTTCAACTTATTTCAGTTATCAATGGTTTCAAGGCTTAAAAATGAGCATTTTATGACTCTGATGGGCTATTGTCTCGAAGGGAACAATCGTATATTGGTATATGAGTTCGCGACAATGGGATCTTTACACGATGTTTTACATGGTATGTTAAAGATTCTGTCATAATCCTGATAGTTGTTGTGTGAATCCTTCTGTTTGTTGTAGTGTTTAGTTGATTGTAGACCCCCACGACTTATTTGGAACTGAGGCGTAGTTGCTCTATTGTTGCAGGTAGAAAAGGTGTACAAGGTGCTGAGCCAGGTCCAGTACTTACCTGGAATCAAAGAGTTAAAATTGCTTATGGTGCAGCAAAAGGACTAGAGTATCTACACGAAAAGATTCAGCCACCTGTAGTTCATCGCGATGTCAGATCAAGTAATGCATTGCTCTTTGATGATTTTACAGCCAAAGTTGCTGATTTCAACATCTCGAACCAGTCTTCTGACACTGCTGCGCGTCTACATTCCACTAGAGTTTTGGGAACTTTTGGCTACCATGCACCAGAGTAAGCCCTGCTTATAACAGCAGAACATGTAGTTTCTCTAGATAGCCTATTGCTTTGCGTAGTTTTCAACAAAACAAAGATAAAACAGACATGATCAAGATCATACAGTAGCTACAAGCTGTTCTATTTGCACCACAAATCGGACAAAGCAATCCTGTTATGTTAAGAGAAACAACGAACAACGTTGATGCATCAAGCAATTAGACAAGTTTCAGATACGGCTGGTTTATTTTATGCTAAACAAAGGTATCGCGTTTTTCTGTAGGTATGCAATGACAGGACAGATTACTCAGAAAAGTGACGTTTATAGTTTTGGCGTTGTGCTCTTAGAACTGTTGACAGGAAGGAAGCCAGTAGATCATACAATGCCTAAAGGGCAACAGAGTCTTGTCACTTGGGTAGCTTCTCATCCTATACCTCTTTCTTTTCTAGTGTTTATATATACACCACCAGTCCGCCTGTGTGAGCTTGTTCACATTGACGGTCTCAAGTAAGAAGGATTGACGTAGGCTAATAGCCAACGTAAAACCTGTTAATTCATGATGAATCCTCACAATACAAATATCGTTACAGCATAATGATTCATACAGACGGCCCAAACTTGTTTGGGTCTGAGGTAGTTGTTGTATATCACCGGTCTGCTGATCTGTACTCGAAATTCTCTTCAGGCAACTCCAAGATTGAGTGAAGACAAAGTGAAGCAATGTGTTGATCCTAAGCTAAATAATGACTATCCTCCAAAAGCAATTGCTAAGGTACTTTACTCAAAACACAATGAATCTTGCCTAGTTGTATGTAATGTTTGGGACTGAGGCGTAGTTGCTGTTGTAATGTTTTCTCAGTTGGCAGCTGTTGCTGCACTTTGTGTTCAATACGAGGCCGATTTTCGACCTAATATGACAATTGTTGTCAAAGCACTGCAACCACTTCTCAACTCAAAACCAGCAGGACCAGAGTCTCAAGCATAGTAAATTTCTGGTTTTGAAACCAGCAGGAGCTGATAGCCTTAATGTTACGGCAAAAACTTACTCACACTCAATGTTTACATAATAACATATTTCTCATGGTTAAATGATTAAATGAGGTACTATACGTGTTGATTAACCATGATTAAGTGAATGACGCGTATTTTGAAGACACATGTTATGTATTGCTGTAAACACCGAGTGTAGATAAGTTTGTCTTTTCCCCTTTCTGATCCAATATGTATTTTTTTTTCACAATTAGAATGCTTGAAAGAACTACGAAAAAATTCTCATAGCTAGGTTAGTAGTGACACTGGATATCAATACCAGTCTTTTTACTTTTTGGGAGTTTGTATAAATATAAATATGTAAGTTTCTGATTGAACAAAAAACCCAAAATCCTCAAAATGTCATTGAAGGCATATATAAATATTTATATATATATACATATATATATATATATTACCAATAAACGCGCTTATTATATTAGAGTAACCTGTTGTTGTAAACACTTTTTTTGACATGATCCTCATATGTAAAAACAATTATAAAATTGTCATATGCAAAGAACTTCAACTTACTTGATATTTAATATCCTACAAGATGTCTGATACCCACGTTAAAGCCCAATTAATCCAAACTTGCGCCAAAAAATCTCACACTACCTAACAAAAACAACTCCATACCCAAGAAACTTGAACACCAGACCTCTTTGGACAAGGATGGATTACTTTTTTTTTTGTTTCTTGATGATGTGATTCTTTGTTTATGCACCATGTATAAACTCATAATTTGCACAACAATCAAGAGGTGTGTTCCCCCCTAAACCAAAAGTTTTGGGTTGGAACTGTGGGAATGAATGGTTCCCCCTTTATACAGACCAACACAACCCAAGCTAGCAGAGTCGGTGGGCCTGAAATACCAAATGGCTAGACCCAAACAAGAGAATTATTGGGTCTGTGTGACCCGGTGACTTTATTCCAGTGCCGATAAAAGTAAAAACATACAGCTAACTGTAGCTGCTAATTAAATGTTGAAACAGCCTGGTGAAGAAAAAAGTGCAAGGTAGACAAGGGAGGAGATGTTTCTTAAGAAACTATCATAATTTTTCTATGTGATCAAATGTAGCATGATACAAAGAAGCTCAACAACAGCTATACCACCATAGGATACCGAGAAAAAGGAGAAATAAAAAAAGAACAAGGCGCCTCCATCTACTATTCTTACAATAACTTATCTTTCATCCTTGTAATTGTTTCTGCTTCTATTTTTGAACTCATCCTTTGCAGTGAGACCTGTGGCAAATGGATACATAATTATTGCATCTAAAAACTTTCATGAAGAATAATGAAAGCCCGAACAGACGTACAAGCTTTTAAGGACAGTCTGTAATGATGCTAAAATCTACAAGAGTAGATACCACTGCACAACGAAGTTGATCAAGTTTGAAAATATTCAACAAATTATCAATAGCATGCTGCTTGTTAACATATTCAACAAATCATTTCCTCATCAGTTGATGGCAAAACATTATAGACATCTTACTGTTTCCAAAAATAACTTGTTGATTTTGTTAGCCAAACTAGACATCAGATCATTTTTCACCTTTATGTTTCCTAAATTGGGCACCCATCCAACCCCTTCTAACCCTCCCCCCCTCACCAAAGAATGAATCACATTAAAGATCAGATGATGAGGAAGGAGTACACACCCATCATCAGCGTCTAGTTCTCGGCTTGCACCGGAACTCAGCTAAGAGTGCTATATGATCAGACGACCACTCTGGAGAAGGAAGTGCTGTGTCCTTTCTCAAGCTTTCTTCTTCCAAGAGCTCCAATAAAGATTCAACAGTTAATGAATCAGCTGAAAAAACAACCATCACATATATCAGCCTTCATGACAAATTCCATCAAGGACATGCATATACTGCACCATCCAAATCATGGACTGTAGAAGAACAAAGGAAAACACTGAGGTGACAAATATATTGTAAATCTAATCGGAGAGAATATTTTACTACACCTGAGTAGAATATATAATCATGAGTGCCAATAAAATCTCTGGTGCAGTTGGTAAACAAGGGCTCATTGGTATTAGGATCCATCCTTCTCCTTTGCTGCTCTAGTCCAAGTCCCACCCCCATTCTGGCAAAGGATGAATAAGCACTAACCTACAGAAATGGATGCCACAACAAAAGAAACGGTTAAATATATCTTGCAGATCTTACTCAACTTCTTCACAAGAATGTATAATACAAATTTATAAGCTCCAACTTCACTCTTAGGAACAGAAGAGGTTCAGGAGGAATCATATTTAAGGGTGTATTAGGAATGAAGGAAAATCTCCTTGGGTAAAGTGGATTTCTTACTTATTTTCTTGTATTAGGTATGTTAGTCCTAATAGCATTTGTATATAGTCTAGATTCTAAGGGAGGTGGGGTGGCAGCAGGGGCGGACCCACGTGGAACAGGGTACCAGGGGGTTCAGTGAAAAATTACACCGTATATATAAAGGTACATTTTCTGTATTTGGTGTATATATATATATATATATATATATATATATATAATTTTTTTTTTCGAACCCCTTCGATTACAAGGAAAAGCTAATAGCCAGTGGCAAGTTCCCCCAAAGTTAAGCTAGAGGTCACCAGTTCGATTCCCTCTGATAGCGTTTTATTTTTTCCTTATTTAGTTTCACTTTTTTTTTGAAGTTTCAGGTCTGTTTTTTTTAGAAAAATGCTAAAAGTGTGGTTTTAAACAGAAAACAATTCAAGGGTCCCATTTCTAAAGGCTTATTTACACGTTTATACTTTTATTTTTTGAACCACCTGAATGGAAGTCCTAGGCCCGCCACTGGGTGGCGGTGGCGGGGATGGGGGTGGGGATAGGGGTGAAGATGAGGGGTGTTGGAGGCTCGGGACGATACAACCATTGTGGAATGTGTTCTCTCTACTTCCACTAGGGAATCATTTGCTCCATACTGAACACACACTGTATAAAAGATTGATATGGAGAGTGAAAAAGATGAGAGACAAAATGGTGGAAGCAGGAACATGAATAGAAGCCTTCCAAAAGTGATTAAAGTTTTACCAATGGGAGCTGGTGTGTTAACTTTGAAGCTGGACGCAAAATACCAAGAGGATCCACTACTAGATCTTGATGCATTGGATCAACTTTCCCCAAGGCAAGAAGTGTATGAGGAGCACTGCATTGTGACAATTCACATTAGCATTGGTATTTCCAGGAAGTGGAGAGGGCTTGGGAGAAAAGTATCAACTGTGCCAATAAGGAAAATTCAAGAAACAACTGACCTTCCGGGCATCGAATTAAAATCTCCACAGACCAGCATTGGGATGTCGGCACTGGCAGCGATTTTTTCAAGTCCTTTAAGAAGTGTGTGAACCTGAGTAGTAAAGACAATGAGTTTTTAACCAGAAAAGAATGGAAGAGACCTCCATATTTAATAACGCGTTCAATAGCAACCTGCCACAGTTTGACATCCCTTAATTCTTGCTGAACGTTTACATGTGTGTTGGCCTGCATACAGAAATGGAAGGAACAATTTCAATAGATGCATCAGCTGGATATAGATTATGATCCACATTCATTTAAGCTATCCTAGGAATACACAATTGCACGCGTAGTTAACATTCCAGGAAAGGTACTTCACAGTGTTACTGACTTGCTTTATTAAGCAAAAAAGTAAGTCTATTAAGAAAATATTCACCATGGCATGACCAGAGTTATTAGCATGTCAGCATAGATTGGGGCTATAAGAAAGCTCAGGCAGACCTTTATCCAGAGAAAAAGAACTGAAGATTTCAAAACTGTAAAAGAGATGAAAGAAAAAAATCATATTCCTCACCACACAAACTAGTTGACGCTTCCCAGGGTTGTCAACCCCCTGGTTGCTGAACTTCGCTTCCAAAACCACTATAAGTGCAACATTATCCTATTATAGAACAGGTGGTCAGACATAATAGGCCAATTCTGAAGTCAAACTCTGGCAATACAAAGATGAACCATTAGAGCAATTCAGGAAAATACCTTAACCAAACGATTTAATGCAGTCTTCTTTTGGGCAATGGGAACCACAGCATCAGTCAAAGATTGTGCAGCTTTATTAAACTCAACCTGCAAAAGAAGCATGAGGTTATTATTTGTAATGATACAAGTGCAACCTTTCTAGTATGCTACTATAAAAAAGTAAAGACCTTTCTAAACACAATACTTTGTACCTCATATTTTTTAACATGTGAGAATCTATCTCGGCGGAAAAATGTAGCACAGCCATCAATATTGTTGATACTCCCACTAAACACCTGTATATGATGAGAGCAGGTCGGATTAGAAATTCAAAAACTCACAAATACAGAGTATACATTAAGCAGAAAAAACCTCGGCTGTTTTTCTTTTGAACAGAGCTTGATAACCATGTTTATCCAGCTCAGGGGCAAAGAATTCCTCAAAATGATTACTTTGAACCTGAAACGGAAGCATACAGCAATGACACATAAGTATTTTCCCCCTTCTTTATATATATACTTCCTATTTTCCACAATGATTACAGCAGAAATAACGTCATACATGTTAAGCATATATAGCATTTAACTGATGAAAAAATCTTCCTTTAATAGCAAATCAAGTTCAGTAAAGCAAAATTACCATTTCATTAAGGAAAGAAAAGAGAACCCTCCCGGGTAAAGAGCAAGTTTAAAAAATTACCCATCAAAGAAACTGAAATTAGTTTGACCTCTACAAAAATTGTAAAAACAACCCACTCAAAAATGTTAATTCTATTATCAGATATTACTCCATCACCTCTTGAAGACAAACAATGTCTGCACGGTAGCCAACTATTTCGCGCAAAAGATTCTGTCTACGATATGCCCAAGAAAGAGCCCAAGAGGGGCAATAACTGTATAATTCGTTTGTAGCATAGGCATCAGACAGAATATTGTAGGAGAGCACAGTGAAAGTTCCTGAAGATGATAATCGACCATCCAAATCCAGATGACCAGGAATATCAACTCCGCTAACTGAAAACATGCGACGTGGAGTTGGACATGGAGCTGGAATCACTCGGGACGTCAATATGGTACTAGAAGGCCCAACAGGTAATTTTGTTTCTGCATCTACAACAACACATTCGAATTTAAGCGCGTGACCAATATCATCTGCAGTAGGCGTATATGTTTTAGACCGTCCAACTTCAAACCAGGTTTCACCGCCATTTCTCTGGGTTATTGCTGCAGGATATAACGGTGCGTTTCCATTCGCCAAGCTGCCACTTGATTGAGAAGAAGCCAAACTTGCATTAGAAACACC